ATATTATAAAATTTGTATTATATATTTTATTATATTATATTATCATATTATATTATAATGTTTATATTATATATTTTATTTTATTATATTATCATATTATATTATAAAGTTTATGTTATATATTATGTTATATAATATTATAAAGTTTATATTATATATTTTATTATATTATATAATGTTATAAAGGTTATATTATATATTTTATTATATTATATTATTATGTTATATTATAAAGTTATATAGCTTATATTATATTCTTTATTATTATTTATTTATTTTATTATTAATTTATTAATTAGTAATTATTATCAATTACTTGTTATTTATTTTATTTTCTCTTATCACAAAATCCATAATAAAACGATACTTGCACGACAAAATTTCAAAATTTCAAAATCATACTCTTTCTACTTCGTGAGCCTTTCCATTTGTGTCACTCGTGGACTTAGTATTATCATATTATACGCGCTGTATTATTACACATTATGTATTCGCATTTTCAAGCACATTGAAAGCGGGTGTAACGAGTTTCAGTTTAGTACTAGTTTCACGCCCGGCGCACATGCTCAAAAACGGCGCGCAATTTATTTACGCGCGGGCGGGAGTTCTGAAAGTTTTATTTTATCACGTTTCACGTGGACTAATAAAAAAGTTGAATTCATGTTGAACGACGTGGTTCTAACTGTTAACTCTCGTTTCTTTTTTCTTTCTCGTTTCAGACTGCTCTGCATACAGGAAGTGGAACGCAACAGCAATATCTGGAGCCAAGGATGGCGCAATTAGAAACGTTGGAGGCAAAGGTAATAAAATAAAAGAGATTTATAGTGTCTCGTGACTTTGAAAATTAATTAGAAATTACAATTCTCATTTTATAATTTCATTCAGCCAGTTCACGGTTCTCTCTCGCATAATAATTTACTAATTGATAATATCCAGTGATTAACGAGTTAGAAATTGGAGATCGTATACTTCATCTAGCAATTTTATAATATTACCTATCTTTCTATGCAAGAAAATTTTTTTTTTAGACAATCAGGACAGTCGTATTGTCTAAAAAAATAATTGTCCTTGCTATATTCAGAATCTTTCTTTCTTGAACAATAATTTACCAACGAATAATATTTAAATACATTTTATAAATTAGAAATTATAGATTATATACTTCTCTTTGGTGAATTTATAATATTAAAATTCATCAATATAATATTGTTTGTAATATAAAAATTATACTTTACTGTTCTTGGTACATTCAGAATCTTTTTTTCCTGAACAATAATTTCTTGTACAATAATTTACCATCTAATAATATTTAACATTACAATTTTACAATATTATCCATCTGCAAGAGAATTTGTGCAAGAGAATTTATTAAATAATCAGATTTGATTTATATTTTTATTTAAAAAATTGTGCTTCAGTATTTTTGCTACATCCAGAATCTTTCTTTCTTGAACAACAATATCTCATACAATAATTGACCAACTAATGATATTTAACAAAATTAGAAATTACAGATTATTTCTCTCTAGCAATTTCACAGTATCACCCATCTCTCAATGCAAGAGAGTTTATTAGACAATCAACACAGCTCACATAACTCACCTAAGAAAGAAAAAAAAAAAGGGGAGAAAAAGAAAGTAACGCTTTGTTCTTGCTACGTCCTGAATCTTCCTTCCTTGAATGTTTCTTTTTTTTTTTTTTTTTTCTTTTTCGAAGGCCGGCAGACAATATGAGAATAGATCAGACAATATGAGACTTATATTATTTAAAAAATTATGCTTCAATACTTTTGCTACATCCAGAATCTTTCTTTCTTGAACAACAATATCTCACACAATAATTGACCAACTAATGATATTTAACAAAATTAGAAATTACAGATTATAGACTTCTCTCTAGCAGTGTTACAGTATTATCCATCTCTGAATGCAAGAGAGTTTATTAGACAATCAACACAGCTCACATAACTCACCTAAAAAAGAACAAAAAAAAAAAGGGAGAAAAAGAAAGTAACGCTTTGTTCTTGCTACGTCCTGAATCTTCCTTCCTTGAATGTTTCTTTCTTTTTTTTTTTTTTCTTTTTCGAAGGCCGGCAGAAAAAGATGGGTATACGGAGGTCGTTTTTAACCGTAGCATCCCGTCGGAAGAAACCGAAGGCGATGTTCCGCGGTTATTGGCGGGTCCGCAATAGCCCCCAGCTTTTTAAGGCTGTCCAACCAGTGATTTATATGCAGATGCGCGCGGACCGGACACTGTGTGTTTCGTTCAGGGCCCTCTCCACACGAGTTTCGGTCCCAGGGGCCAAAGTGGTGCTCGCGCGGGTGCCATTAAAACTGCCCCGTGTCCACGTGTGTATGTACGCCGACACCCAATAGCGCAGCATCCACGAAAGTTCTTCTTTTTTAATCCTACTCTCATCTCGAATCTTGCGTTCCATCGTTACTTGTCTTATCTTATCCTCATTGTCAGACTACAATGACTCGGCGAATGAAGGTTGAAAAAAACAGAGAAAAGACAAAGGACAAAGTCCTGCACGCGTGTGTGGACAAAGAAAATTTTAATATATCTAAATATAATTCTACGACTATTAAAATATGTTTTAGCAATTTAGATTAGGATTTAGCAAAAATTTGGAACTGAAGGTGTTGAAATAAATTTTATTCAGTCTTCGAATCTTCAAATATAATTCTACGACTATGAAAATTTATTATTTATTTATTTTTAAGTATTATTCTAGAATTAGCTGGATAGAAATCTCAGAAATCTCGGAATATGTTTTAGCAATTTAAATTAAAATTTAGCAAAATTTTGAAGTGAAGGTGTTGAAATAAATTTTATTCAGTCTTCGAGTCTTTAAATATAATTCTACGACTATGAAAATTTATTGTTTATTTATTTTTAAGTATAATTCTGGAATTAGCTGGATAGGAATCTCAGAAATCTCGGAATATATTTTAGCAATTTAGTAATATTTAGCAAAATTTCGAAATGACGATGTTAAAATAAATTTTATTCAGTGTTCGAGTCTTCAAATATAATTCTACGACTATGAAAATTTATTATTTATTTATTTTTAAGTATTATTCTAGAATTAGCTGGATAGAAATCTCAGAAATCTCGGAATATGTTTTAGCAATTTAAATTAAAATTTAGCAAAATTTTGAAGTGAAGGTGTTGAAATAAATTTTATTCAGTCTTCGAGTCTTTAAATATAATTCTACGACTATGAAAATTTATTGTTTATTTATTTTTAAGTATAATTCTGGAATTAGCTGGATAGGAATCTCAGAAATCTCGGAATATATTTTAGCAATTTAGTAATATTTAGCAAAATTTCGAAATGACGATGTTAAAATAAATTTTATTCAGTCTTCGAGTCTTCAAATATATTTCTACGACTATGAAAATTTATTATTTATTTATTTTCAAGTATAATTCTAGAACTGGCTCAGAAATCTCGGAATACATTTTAGCAATTTAGCAAGATTTGGCAAAAATTTCGAAGTGAAGATGTTAAAATAAATTTCAATCAGCCTCGAGAGTCTTACGATTCCGATTCACCAAGTACGTACGTACGTACGTACGTGTCTGTCCAGAGAAGAAAATCACGTGGTGCCATCCGTCATCGTACGCGAAACAACCCTCTGTGATCTTTTATCCCACCCCTCGCCGTCAGCGAGCTGCGTTTCCTCGTAAGCTTCCTTTAAGCCGCGATTAATGCTCGTTGTCAGATTCGTTGACGTTGGCCGGCCACGCGGCAAAAATCCATCGGCCGATGTTTACGCCCGAGCAGGCCAACGCGAAGTCGTGTTTTGCCATCTCGAAGAAAGAGGCACGAAGCAAAAGAAAGAGGATAAGAGGGGGAGGAAAAAGAGCAAACCGAAGGAGGAAACAGAAGGAGCGTGCTGTGTGTGCACCGAGGGCTTCGATATGAATAATGAAGAAGAGCGTCGACTTGAAAAAGGTTGCATCGTCGGTACGTCGACGGAATATCTTCTTACCGGGAATCGAAAATATTCCTCTCGGAGAGAAGAGAGGAATTTCTTTTTCGAGTCTCGCGATAGGATTTTGGAAAGAACTTTGACATTAAAATGAGAGAATTGCATTTTTCACTGAAAGAGTAGAGATTTACTTATCATAGATTTAATAATATAAAATAATATATAATACATTTTTATATTTATATAAAATAATATATTATATATAAATATAAAAATATATTTATATAAAATAGTATAAAATAATATATAATAAATTTTTATATTTATATAAAATAATATATTATATATAAATATAAAAATATTATATTTATATAGAATAGTACAAAATAATATATAATACATTTTTATATTTAATAATATAAAATAAATATAAAAATGTAAAAGTAAATATAAATATAAAGAATATAAAAAAAGTATGTATAAACATAAAAAATATAAAAATATAAAATAAATATGTATAAATATAAAAAAATAATATAAAATAAATATAAATATAAAAATAAATTTATTTATATTATTTTATATAATAAAAATAAATTTATTTATTTATATTATTCTCTACAATAAAAATAAATTTATCTATTATTTTCTATATAATAAAAATTAATTTACTTATTTATATTCTTATTATTATATTATTATTATTTACTTATTTATATTATTTTATATAAGTAGAATCTTCAAATTTATAAATTCACTTCATCTTTGTATAATTGTCAGAATCAAAAATACTTCACCGACGCGGTGACATTTCTCAGAAATGAAGAATGAAGAAGAGAGGAATTTCTATAATTGTTAGAACCTTGGGATCATTGATTGACAAAAATTCACGAACAGTAATTGCAATTATTGAGATGTTACTAAACTCGATAGATTGAAATATTTCTATTCTATCGCTAAAACGATGAGTGTGGTTCGTTTTAAAACGTAGCAGCCAAAGAGGACAGGCTTCGGTACGCCCTTGGGTCGAAACAGACTCAGACAGATCTAGTCGGCCAGATTGCAGATTCAGGAGTCAGTGGCCTTTGCTGTCTGCCACGGCAGTACCCCAGCAGCAAGATTTCGTTCGATCTCTCGAACGTTGGAAACTGAAAACGCTGCCTTCCTTTCGAGTAACTTTCAATCGAATATCTTTCAGTAATAATTTGCTGACAACCAAATTCGAAACCGAACGAAAGGAAAAAAAAAGAAAAAGAAATATAGTAAAACCTGAGAAATTTGAAACACGAGCGAGAGATTCTCTGTGGGACATTTTCATGCATTAGAGTTACATCGCGGAAGGGACGCAGAGCATTCGTGCAGCAATTTAACATCCGCCATTGTGATATCCATCCCGTTGCACGCGATAATCTCTCTCGATTAATTCCGTTTGATCGGTTAAACATGATAATATTTACCATCTGCTGCAATTACTGTTGAAATATTCACTGCCGCGTATACAGGGTGAGCCGGAATTCGTAGAAACAACCGAGCAAGGGCTGATTCTACGTCAAAAAAAAAAATAAGAAAAAAATTTGGTACGACATTTTTTCTTATCTGGAGCTCTATTTTCGAGAAAATCGACTTTAAAGTTTGTTCATCTTTGTGAACGATTTAGTTGTCTATTCTTCTACCGCGATTGTCTCCGTCCGAAATAGTGTTTACGAACATTATTTATTGCGCGGTTAAAGCAGTACAAAGTGTTCCTACTGATAATTAATTTTTTATTCCTTATTACTACTTTCTGTTGCAATACTACAATACAGTACACTGTTACAAGTGCTGTTGAAAATCGTCCTCCTCGTTGCTGCATACATAAG